CGCCTATTCCTTTTTGTCTTCTATAGTGTCCTCTGTTCTCCTATTCTTTCTAATATCTCTTCATTTCTAACCTTCTCTATCCCCGGTATCCTCATCATTCGCTTATAACACCACATTTCGAACGTTTCTGACCTTTTCTTTTCCGCCGCACCCACCTACCATGTTTGGCACCCGTACAGCACCGTGCTCCAAACATACACCTTTAACAATTTTTTCGAATCTTTAAATTAATCATTCGCGAGCGTAGAAGTGGCTTCTTTTTATTTTTAAGTTAAATAAATTTTGTTAATCAATTCTGAGACTAAATTACTAGATAGAACAAATTTTCCAATGTGAATCAAAAATTACTTATTGTTTTACAAAACATAAACTTGTAACATTTTATATGAAAGAAGCATTTTTTAATTGCTTTTACCTACGACCTAATTAAATATTTTAGTACAACTACTTTAAGCCCCTCTTGTTTGTAACAATATCAAATTAAAATGGGTGAATAAAAATAAGGCTTGAAGTAACATTTTAGAACAATGGTAAATTTTCGACTTTAAGTTCGTAATCAATTGTCATCCCAAAGGAATTTTATTTCGCTGACGCGACAAAGAAAGCCGTTTTATAGTCAGTATTAACGTAAATCCTTCCCGTAAAATTCCGAGAAGATATAATCCATTATTGCTTCAGTTCCTGGACAGAGATCCCTTGCTTTGATGGTTTTTGTCAAGCGCTTAAGTAAATTCAGGTTTTAAAAAGATAATCAAGGAAATAAAGTACGTATTAACTATCAAATTATGAAATGGTTTTTTCCGAATGGCGAAAATACGATAAAATTACTGGCAAGGTTTATTTCAAGGCAAATTAGAAATTTAAATTTGATTAATATGACGCTTTTTTTTGTAACTAATGGATTGAAACATCCAAGTGTATTTTTATATGTAGACCTGAAATTCTACGTTTTGTATTTTTAATTTTCTACAACCCCACTTTCAGTAAAGAAACACTTTATTACTGCTGTCTCTCCCTCGCTGAGAATCGAACCTAGGGCACCGGTTTTACTCATAAGTAATCTAACACTAAGCTACGAGGAGGTGATAATTTTTTCTCATTAATTTGACTATCAGTGGTGGATAAAGTTAATTCAAAAATCAATTTACAAATGCATTGAATCACACGTTCGCAATAAAACTTAAATATACCAAAAATTTAGTTTATTGAATAAGTTGCGTTTAGTTAAATAATACAGTAATATGTAATACTTACTGAATTCTCCCTGCAAAGATTTCTATTGCATTTTCGTTGTAACATCGCAAAAATGAAATCTAACAATTACCGATAGTTTAAAATTAAAATGCACCTAATACTACGAAATCTCTTCTATTTTAGCTTTGAATTTTTTACCTAATTAATTACAAGGGCGGACTGAAAATTTCGTAGGCTGACCCACATATGGCTCTTCTAGTATCAAATCCATATGATTTTAAGTTAGCCCTAACCTTCAAAAGACACGTGTATACATTTGACAGCTGTTGCACTATTAGTATCTGAGTTATAACATTTTTAGTGAAAGAACTTTTGTTGTTTGAAAAAGAAAGTGCTGTTTTATCAAGACAATGCACCGTGTCACAAATCAATGAAATCGATGGCAAAATTCCATGAATTGGGCTTCGAATTGCTTGCACATCCACCGTACTCTCCAGATCTCGCCTCCAGCGACTTTTTTCTGTTCTCAGACCGAAATTTCGCGCCTATGAAGAGGTAATCGCCGAAACTGAAGCCTATTTTGAGGGTAAAGACAAATCGTATTATAAAAATGGTATCGAAAAATTGCATGACCGCTATAATCGTTGTATGGCTCTCGAAGGGAACTATATTGAATAATAAAATCAAATTCTATCAAAAAAAATAATTTTTTTTAAGGTAGCCTACGAACTTTTCAGCCCGCCTGTTAACATTGTTTAAAAATCCGATGTAGCAAATGAAATGCTGCAGTTCGGATAATAATCAACAAAAAAATAGGTAAATAAACAATTTGCTCCTATTCTAGAAACCTTTCGTAAGAAATACCAAAATTAATCAAAGGATATTTTAAGCTTTTAATGGACAAGGGACTACTTATCTAAGTACCTCTTAACGTGCTTTATATGAAGAATGCTGACGTAACTTTTATATTACCGATATTAGTTATTTTCGTTAACAAAGCACTTCCAGTTTGTCTAATCATGAGAAGATTACGAAAGTGGAAGAAAGCCGGGCTCGAAAGAGATTCTACAGCTCTTTCTCTTTCTCCACTACCAGATAAGAGTTAAAGCCCTTAAAGACGGTGGGTATTACGGATAGAATCAATTAAATGGAATTTACGTTTATCAAGATCCACGGAGCAAAATCTCACAAGTCGAAAATTTTGCTAATACAAAATCAATAATCAGCTTCCCGTCGTCGTCGGTCTATAAATCTACGATAACGCTTATTTTCGAATAAGCGAAAGAGGCCCCTTTAAATTAGAGAATGATGAGTCATTAGAACTTGCATCTTTGGGTAAAATTTATTAGCAAACACGTCACAACAACAGATTTATTACTATTAGTTTTGTTTTCCTTTCCACAAACTGATTAAACTTGGAAAAAAGTTAAAACGACATTGGATTAACATTTGTAAAAACAAATAAGCATTTAAAGTTTTCAAATTGAGTAAAATAATTCATTAAGTCATTAATGTGAACGTATCTACCTGACATCAAATTACAATGTGTACTTTACATTACCTAATTAAAATGATGAATTTTTTTACCATAGTTTTTGAAATTAAACTTATTTTTATATTAAATTACTTAGTCGAATACAGTAGAGCCAAATTTTCAAGACCTTTACAGGGACTTTAATAACACTATTGTGATCCGTCAAATGAGCATACACCATCTGGTGGCAAAATTTATAAACTACTTTCCAATAAAAACTAACCGTTTTATGTATGTAAAAAATATATTCGGAAAATTAGAGAAAAAAGAAAACTAATAGAAGCTTGGATGAAAGCAGTAGTTATCAAAGAAGTGAATTCCGGAATAAAAATTTGTTCACGTCATTTTAATGCACATGATTATATTTCAGCAAGTATTTACCATCAGCCATAACCTTAATATTTAAAACTAGAATCATACTAAAATTATAAAGTGAGAAATTATTTATTCCTGTGTAATTGATTTAACACAATTCTAATGATACGATATAAGTATTTTGAGGTTAAGAACCTACCTGCTGCAATACAACAAAGTTGCAATAATGTGTTTGCAACGTTCTCTTAAATCGGCTTTGCACGTGCAAGTCATTGATATGATATTGCTTAAATCACCCAGAATCACCTCACCAATTATATAACGTGAATCACTTTTTAAATCCGAAGTTTGTAAAAAGTAGGCAGTAAACTTGACGGAATTTGAAGGCTAGCTTCCGGATTTGTTATTTCCGAATTTTATAATGTGATTGGCATTAAAAACACGCTCACCTTCAACGAAATTTCCTTTCCGAGGCTTTGTGTCAGCCCAATCACATATTGTGTTAATACTTATCATTTTATCGTAATTTAAAAATTTGGAAATTTCACGGTACACTATAGGAACTGCGATAAATTTTCCCTAATCGGCGCCATGTTTTTGGGCTCCTCCCATTTGACGGATCCCAATAGGTAAGGGCGAATTCACAACTGAACATTTAAGAGATATTCTATTATATACAGTCATCTTGTTGTTGATGTAAAATTCGTACAAATGCGTTCGGAAATCTTTTTATACATGCATATAAATAAAGTAATATAAGTCTAATAAATGCAATTGAAAGATCTAACATTGTTCAAAAGATTTTGAGAGACTAAGACAGTTTTTAGTGCAGCAAGTGACATAAAAGGAAAAAATACCGACCAAGAAATGTGTAATTTCTACGTTCGGTACAAAATTTGCCTTATCTGTAAATATGAACTAGCAAGCAGTCAATATACAAAACGATACAACGTCAGCATCGGGGAGAGAGCATAAAACAAACTTTATCGTAATATCATATATTGATTTACTTGTGGAGAAGCTAAAGTTATAGCGTTATATATGTTGACATTTACATAATCTTTAATTCTCTCTAGAGAGAGTATAGATACTATACTTCCAATTTCTGATTCTATTTTCTTTACATAACATCCCAATTAATTTGAAGGAGACGCTTAACTCGCAGGACTAAACCTTTCTCGATACAGAGATCCTGGGGACGTTTTTATTATTTGCAATTCTCTCGCATTCGACGACGAACATGAAAACTAACTTAAAGATTGATCATCATCATCATCATATTAAACGATTGTTGCCGATAGAAGATGCGATTTGAAATAATAATGGCCCCTAACTAAACTTTCAGGGTATAGAAATGAATAAATGACGATAATGTACATAAAGGATATTAAATTCGGTCTCTATGTCTTGATACAATTGGACGCATATACTGGGTGTCCCAAAAAATAGCAGTAAATTAAAAGAGGAAGGATTTTAATTATGAGGAATTTTTTAACTACCTTAACCTTAACTACCCAACTGATCATCATAAAATTTTGTAGACACATTGTCAGGGATACCGAAAAGGACATAGGGTACTGTTTATTAGAAAAAAAAAATACTGTTTCGAGGAAAAGAAAAATTAGTTTTATGTGGTCGTCGATGATCTTTGACATGTATTAAGCACATCAAAATATTAAAATTGTTGGCCAATAAAAAGAGCAACAGTGATTTATTCGTACGCAAATATAAATGACGTCAAATAAGTAAATACCAGAAAAAAAAGAAATTTTAAAATGAATAGTCGCGATCATTAAGACAAAATTCTAGTTTTGTTATTTTGAAAACCAAAATTAGGGAAACACACTCGAACTTAAATATGAGACTTGTAAGTAACTTCGCTGTATACAATATTGAATAAATTTCTTACTTTGGATTTTGATATACTAAGATTTAGTTTTTCTTTTTTTTATTTCAGGAGGAATTCTTTGTAAAGGTTGGCGCAAGGAATGGGTGGTGCTTTATGAAGATTCAACGATAGCCTTTTACGCAGAAAAGGGTTTGAACAGAGCTCGTGGGGAGGTTTTGATCAGTGATTCGCCCGACTTATTAGCCGTAGGAGAATGGACCAGACAAGTGCCCAAGCCTCCGCGCGTTCCTAGACCGTGTCAAGTAGGTCAGTTGATAGTGGTAGGCAACAGATATCCAAAACAAGTTCACTGGCTTATAGCGCCATCGTGTAACGAAGTCGAGTACGTATTAATTTTAATTACCTAATGTAGAGATGAGTTACAAAGATAGAAGAGTGATACTTAGTTTGTATAAAGAGCAACAGGCAGTTATAGAGGTGGGGAGCTGCAACGTAGATAAGTGAATATTAGGAAGGGAGTCAGACAGGGATGTACACTGTCACCGCTACTTTTTAATCTATACATCGAAGACGCGATCAACATCATTAAAGACAGTACAGTAGGGATAGATATACAGGAGCAAAAGATTAGTATGGTTAGAATTACAGATGATATAGAATTATTAGTATCTAGCAAGAAGGAGTTAGAAATAGCTTTAAATAAAATGAAAGCGGTATTGACAAAACAGTATTGTATGAAAATAAATAAAAGTAAACAAAAATACTGGTATGCAAAGGAAGAAAAAGTAGGGAAAGAGCTAATGTAAAGATAGGAGGCGAAGGATTAGTAGAAGTGGTCGATTTTACGTATCTAGGAAGTCAGATAAGTCAGGACGGAAGGAATAGTAGGGATTTAAAGCAAAGGATAGCGCAGAGTCGAGTCGTCTTCAATAAAGAGAAGTCACTTCTATGCTCAGGAAAGGTTAATTTAAAATTTCGAAAAAGATTGTTAAATGCGTATGTTTGGAGCGGGGTGCTGTATGGGTGCGAAACATGGACGGTCGGCGCGGCGGAAAAAAAGAGGTTAAAACCGTTCTAAATGTGGTGTTACAGGCGAATGATTAGGATACCGTGGCTAGAGAAGGTTAGAAATTTAGTAGTATTAGAAAGAATCGGAAAACAGAGGACTCTATGGAAATCAATAAGAAATAAGCGAGATAGATTGGTAGGACACCTTCTCAGGCATGAAGGTCTAGTCAGAGACATATTAGAGGCAGAAACGGGAGTTAGGAGGGGTAAATAAAACAAGAAATCACCGAATAATGCGAGAATAAGTGTTGCGTTCAATTTAGATCTTCAAAAACAATTATCACACAAGAAAATTAAATAGATGACATATCTGTTATATTATAATTATAATTAATATTTTTTTTGATAACTATTACAACGATCGCGGCAGGAGATTTATTACGCTCAATCCTTTTATTACAGCATCATTAATAATGGAAACTTTTCTTTTATTTCAGTGACTGGATGACAGCAATTAGTAACACGGTAAGCACATATATTTTTTTTCTTTTAAATCTTTACAAAAAATGACTAGCACCTACAACCTACATGTAGAACATTAGTTGCTTAGAAAATTTAATTTTGTTTTCTGGAAAATAACGTCCATGTAAATTATATTGAATAAGTAATTGTTAATTTTTATTTTCATATTGGGACCTAACAAAATGGCAATTTTTATAAAGATGGCGGTTTTAAAACTATAATAGTTTTTAGATTAAAGTGAAAAGAACTTTGAAAACAACGTCAAATATAGCAAAAATAAAAAGCATTGCTGGAAAAATATTTATTTCATGGAAAAATTTTACTCTGCACTTTCTCAACGTGATGATAATTAGGTAGAAAAAATTTGTAGAAATTAGATGTGTATATTTTGGACAAAATCGGTTCAAAGCAGTTAGGCAAAATAAAATTTCCCTTTCAAGGTGTCTGGAAATCGCTTAACGTTAGCTTTTGTATATATTTCATTTTGCGAATTCCAGCGACGATCGTTTTTCCTCTTAGCACTATCAAGCTGCCTGTTGTGTTGTTTTTATTTTGTTTTCGTGTCCTCTACCGACTAAGACTGGTCCGAGGACACCTTCTGGGAATCCAAGAAGAAAAACGATTTTCACTGGAATTCGCGAAATGGAATATAGGTATAACAAGTAACGTTAAAATATTTTTTCACACCTTACAAGGGAAAATACCTGATTTTCGATACTTTACGAATTTTCCCTCATTTTAATTTGTTGCTGCTCGATGTTGTGTACTATTACAATCTTTACACGAAGAGTTTGAGCATAGTGTCAAATGTGCTATTGTTTGTTTATTTCCTTATTTTCTAAGATGCTTAGTAGTAATATTTGATTGGACTTATGGTTGAAATTGGAAAGAAGACAATATAAAAATATAAAAAACTATATTCAACAACTTTAACTTATGTCCGAATCGTTAGTTTTATTGACTTCTATTTATGCTGATGATTTTAAACTTTACTTTGTAAACTAACTTTTTACTTTGCTGCCGTAATTTTCAATTTTTTTTTTGTTAGCCAATAGGTAATTTAACTAATTTCGAGGAAACAAGTTGTAAGAATTTTTAAAATACGTATTATATACAGTGGAATTCGTTTATTATGACTCCGCCTATATTAACCAACCGCTTAATATGAAGTAATTGCAGTGTTAAGTTTCGTTTTCATATTAAATTCTCTATAGGAAAGTTTGGATATAATGACTCCGTTTAAAATGACATATCGTTTATTATGACTGATTCTCAAGAAATCATATCCGACTATAGTGACCCAAATGATTAATAATAACATTTTCGCTCATTTTTCTGACCCTTCTTATGTATACTGATATTACAATTATCGTTCTTTTTCTTATTCTGTTAATAAATATATACAATTTGTAGTTTTTCTCTCTATTAAACTAAATAACTAACCAAAATAGAAAGTTGTTTATTTTCTAAGACTATGCTTTGTATGACGCCCGCTTAGTATGACGTGTTTGTCATTTTCCTTCGATGTCATTATAAGCGGATTCTACTGTATTAGAATTGCTCCATTAAAATAACACCAATAGACGTTTAATTCTTAAGTTGCTATTGCATTATGCTCCGTACTGAAATGGAAAATATTGAAAAAAATCAAGTTTTAATCTAAAAATATCGTTATGCTATTTTCATTATTACAGAGGTAGTCCATAGCAAAGAAAGTGAATATTTCAATGTTGTTCCAATACAATTTTTCCTTATTTTGGGGCAAAAATTGGACCTTATTGATACGTCCCTTTGCAACATTGTATGTATAAAAAGCAACAATAGTTATTAAAAAATGCTTTCTAAATTCTATTCAACGTGTTGTACTCCCATTCAATCCGTTCGGTTATAAAGATTTCCACGTTATTATGGTGCCTATAAACAAGCTGGAACAGATGTGATTCCTGAAAGCCCCTTAAATCTTGCATATGTCCCTGTTTCTTACGAGAAAATCCTTGAAATACCTTGCAAGGATACAGAAGGCGTCAGAAACACAAATAAAGCATAAATCAGAATGATTTAACCACGTCGTTATAAGAAAAGTATAAGTACGACTGATTATTATCTAGGATAAAGCTAGAAAACAGCGTAGCAATAAACGTATAGTGTTATCCTGAAAAGTCGTAAATACGAATGAAATTAAGTTCTGTATGACGAACATCATTGTAGCACATAGACGTAGATACTTTATAATCAATAAAAATTTTTCAAGCTAATATTGTTGAAATAATATTGTATGCTAAGGAAAACAATGGTTTCAAATATATATTATAATGAATTTTCCAGTAAATATTCATTTACTCGTTTTAAATAACGTACGGAAACCATAATAAGATTCGTATAGTATGTATTAGAATCTGAAAAGTAACTGATCAGATGACTGGATCAAGGGAAAGGTTATTATACTTTGATCAATTCCTGATTAGATGTCAGAACTAACGGATAGAGTAGTGTACTGATCAGAAAGCCGGATCAAAGGAAAGGATAAAGCACGCTGATCAGCTTCTTATCATCAGGTGACCAGATCAAGGAATGGAGAACTGTACTCTGATCAGGAACTGATCAGGTGCTCGTATTACACAAAATCTGATCCGGACCTGATCATAATCGAGATTCCCTGAACTAATTTCTAGTCGGGATGTCATGTTATGATTATGGTGGGATAGATAACATGAATGAAGCGTGCGGTCCTAAAGCGGAAGTCCGGTCTGATTTTTAAATTCTGCATAACGTACGTTATTCTTTATTTTCTCGTTGTAATGTGGAACCCTACAAAGAAGGCTAGAAGATGTGCCATATACATATGTAGTAGATATGTGTCGTTTCATAATTGGTTCACACAATAAATTTTTATTTCAGAAAAGTTTTGCAGTTCATCACGAGCATATAAAGCCCTTCGTATTATCACGTAACGGCATTGTTAAAGCTGTAATAATAAAAAGGAGACGTCGTTACCGGTCGTATGTAATCATACGCCTGATTAACTCTCAACGCTGCGAATATACATTTCAGACAATTCCAATAATTGCATTTTAGATCATTACCGTTCGTATATCAGAAACGTAAGCCAACTGTAACTGGCAAAATAATAGAAATGACGCGCAGAAATAACACGGTTCTTGTTCTGTCGTCTTTTATTCGCGCATCTAATTTTATTTAAGGAAGTAACCTGTCTCCTTGCCTCCTTTGAATGTTACAGGCTAATTTAGAGTCAGTTTCCGTTATACGAACGAAGTATGATTTTGTATCTTGAATAACGAACATGATATGTGTTTCTACGTGTTTTTTTATACATATTTAACTTATTATTTTGAGGAGGTATTAGTAAGAGTAGAAGAACAGAGGGCGCTATAGAAGTCAATAGGGTAAAAGATGGATAGTTGCCTCAGTGCAGTGTTGCCATTTTGAGGGATTTATCCCGATTCGAGGGATAAAGGGATTTTTCCTTATTTTCGCGGGATTATTTGTAATTTGCCATTTTTTGGTTGGTTTTGTTTGAATTTGTTGACCTGATATTATATTATGAAGGCGCTCATTTTTCTAATTGTAAACATAAAATTTTGTCAGCTATAATCGTATAATGCTGTACGATGAAACGGTTGATGCCTGCAGGTACCTGCTCAAGTCCCTACAGTAAATTGTCCTGAACTCTTTTGAATTGTATATTGTTTTCGTATCATTGTATGGTCTTCAGCAAACGTCTTGAGAGTGACCAGTCAACAGATCAGAAACAGATGTTAAAACTAATAAAAATAAATGTGGAGTTGGTGTATTGTTCCGAAATCCGAACATCTAAACATCTAAACCCCCAAGGCCTGGTATTGTCTACATTTTTGGGAAACGAGATAACTACATATAATAAAATTATCGGTATTATGCTATCGACACGAAAAGTTGTCCATGTTTACAGAAATATTGTCTATTTTTTTCTTCGAATAAACNGACGTAAGAGGGCTGTAAACCATTTTTGACCACCCACCCTTCGGTTGCTTATACTGAATAATAGCATAGATCCTCAGAAGGAAATTGTGAACCAGTGTTGTTAGTAATAAGCTGGAGGAATTTTTAGAGAAAATATGGGACTTTTTGGACTTGCGCGTGGGGGGATTTTTAGAGAAAATATGGGATTTTTTGGACCTGCGCGTGGGATTTTTTCCTGTAGTAGGTTGGCAACAGTGCCTCAGTGGGATACATGCCCTGCTTTTGAATACACCACGTTAGGGATGTTGGTGGAATTTGCCCGTTATTAAAATTAGAAGTGCCCCTCCCGTAGCGCCTAGTGCCTTGTAAGTTGTCAGAGTAGGCACATGCATTTTGTCCGTGTAAACAAAAATCTTTCGTGACCAAGTTTTAACGGGCATCATCATCATCATAAGGTCGTCAGTCCTAAGACTGGTTGGACACGCACATCCACTCATTCCTATCCTGAGCTAATCTTCACATTTCCCTAAAACTAGAACAACTGATATCCTTAACTATTTGCGAACATATGCAGTAACTCTAATATGTCTCTGACTAGACCTTCATGCCTGAGAAGGTGTCCTACCAACCTATCTCGCCTATTTCTTATTGACTTCCATAGAGTCAGTCCTCTGTTCTCATATTCTTTCTAAAACCTCTTCATTTCTAACCTTCTCTATTCACGGTGTCCTCATCATTTTCATCATCGCCACATTTCGAAAGCTTCTAACCTTTTCTTTTCAGCCGCGCCCACTGTCCAGCGCCGTGGTCCAAACATACACTTTCAACAATCTTTTTCGAATTTCTAAATTTACCGTTCGGGCGTCGAAATTATATTAGTAAGTAATTTCCATTGAATATTTTTATTACTGATTGTGGTTTCACTCAACTTTTTGTTTATTCGCTTGTATAATTTTTATTTATTTCGCAAATAGAAAGGGCATGTATCCGTATCAAAAAGGATAGTTATTTAATTTTACGGATAGTCGCTCAAAGGCCAACTAATCGCAACTATAAATTTTTTAACGAACAAAAACAGATCTTTTTCTTTTGGTGTTTTTTCCAACTTGTTTTAAATAAAATAAAGACGTAAGTGTTTCATTCTAGGTACACAGAAAAACCAGGCGTGGTGTTGCGCCGCATAAGCTGAACAGAAGATAGTTTAGCACTTGCATTCAAAATATAAAAAACATAAATATATGGTGATAATTAATGCTAATGCCAAAGTTGATTCTGTCTTTAAAATAACACTTTATATATTTACTAACAGTTTAGAGGCTATTTTGTCTACCCCTGTAGGAAGCCGTCCATGGTATTTTATAACGTTGATTAATATTTTGACTAATACTTAATACAGAATCTCAGTAAATAGTAAAGAATGATTATGTAAATTGATATAAATTTGTTTCTATCTGAAAAAATCATAGTGAGACGTGTATCCCCGCACGAGGTAAGTATCCCTCGCACCATTTTTTACGTTAGGCTACTATCCGCTACAGTAGGCTACTATCCCTCTTTTGAGAGGTCAAATAAAACTGGATTTACTCAAAACTAATATTAATTACGTTTACATAAAAAGGCTACTACAAAAGATCAAAGACCTATGTTTTGATATATATATCGTATTGTTCTTTGTAAGTACATATTTTTTAATAATAGAGTTTTTGAAGTGAAACTTCTTTACGGACGGTAGAGTATGTTCGTTTTATGCGAGTTGCTATGTAACGAAATCATGCAACGCATTTCCCCCGCTGTCTGTCCCTATTTATGCTTAGATCTTTAAAACTACGAAACGGATTTTAATGCGTTTTTTTTTAATAGATAGAGTAATTCAAGAGGAAGGTTTATATGTATAATACATGCATAATATAGTGGAGAAACATTGATAATTTTGGAGGTTTGTAATATGATGTTGTAAATAAACACATTTTTTTGCTCTTACATTGCAAACGCTGGCTGAACCCTACGTGATATATCAAAATAATATACTGTAGCATTGTACACCTTAAGAAGGTCTGCAAAAAAGTCTGGGATGGTATATGTCTATCTCTTAGGGATAACCCACAATAACCATTTTTTATCCTTTACTTTTTACGAGAAATAATGGCTTATTTACGAAGCGATTTTAAGCAATACAGCATTAATCCTTATCTAATTAAGTACTTTTAAATACATTGTGTATTTAATATAGATCAATATGGCCCTTTATAGCATGTAATTTAAATGAATATTTTCGATGATATTACAGACTTAAAATGCAGGGACATAGTGGTTGCGACGGTACCGGCCGGTTTGTCTAATGACAATAAAGCTGTGATTGTTGTAAATAAAGACATTCTATAGTGTATTACTATCAGCATTGCACCTGTGCGAAGCACAGTGTACAAATAATACCATTAAACCAATTCCTTAACCCGTATCCCGGTATGTTTGTGTGTTTGAAGAAGTTTCACTTCAGTAGCGTGTTGTATAATTACACGTTGCAATTTTTTTTTTTTTTTTGAAAAGTGGGGCAACTATACGGTTTTTACCCTAATAGGTGAGATATGTTGGTAAGACACGTTCTCAGGTACGAAAGGCTACTTAGAGACATATTAGAAGTAGAAACAGGAGTTAAGAGGAGTAGATTAGATTACTGTTTACAAACGATTAAGGATGGGGGATGTTCTAGTATTTTGGAAATTCGAAGATTAACTCAGAATAAGATAGAGCGGAGGTGTGTGTCTGACCAGTCTTAGGACTGATGATGATTTAACTTATTATTAAGATAATATTGGAATATCATAATGACAAATACCTATCCATATTAGTTTAAAAAGTGAAAATATAGTGTACGGGAAACTATTTTATTACAATTCCAATACAATAATGCTACTTAATCGTGATCCAAACAAGTATACCACATTTGACGTCAATAGTTAATAAACAGGCGCTAGTTTTGTTACATGACGATAAATTTCAATTAAATGGGATTTAAAATGTGTTATATACTTTGTATGGTAACATACAATTTCAATTATTAAAAGCTGGCCAATTCAATTAATATTAATTCCAATTTTATGCAATAATTGACAGTAAAAGTAAATTTTGTATAGTTGAAACAATAATACATATAGAACGTATAGAATATCATTGAAAATAGTATTACTCTCGAATGTATTACAAAATTCCACACTTCCAAAAATATTCAAAGTATAAGCAAACAAAAAAAAATACACATTAAAATCCAGATGTAATATATTCCTGTATTTATTCAGTTGCTGAGTTAATATTGCAACGATTTATAGAGAAATTATGAGAAAGCACGTGGCAATATTGACAAATACCCTCTTATATTCTTGGTTCAAAAAGGTAACAACAAAGCTAAGATATATTTTTTTTTAAGAAAAAAGAAACGACTGTAAAATGGGATAAATACAACTCTCATTTTTTCTCTTTCGCCAACATTTCGCTCGTTTATTGGACTTCACTAGTGCTCTGAAAAAATTAGGGACTGACATTTTCTAAACCGTTGTTTTCATTTCATCTTACCCGATATTTATTAGCAATTGAGTTTTTTAATTAAAGACAAAGATTTTTTTAACTTGTAACCTTTTGTTTCCCATATAATAACCAACTAATTTCAAATTTATATTTAGTTATCTAGTTTGCGGTTTTTTTTTGTTAGAATTTGTTATAATCATCTTGAAGTCGTTCCTTTTTTTTAGAAAAACGTTCAACTTTTTATTTCTTTAGCATTTTTTTTAACACGAATACTTACTAATTGTGAGTTGCTAACAAAAATGAGGTTGCTGAAAGTCCTTTTAAGATAATTTATTATTTTAATGGCACTGAAACCGTAGCGCATGTACCTATATGAGTATACAAAACAAAAATTTTTAGTTTTGTTGTTTCGGAAAGAATTCCATTTGTCCTTAATAAAATTCAACCTACTCGTATTTGTGGTAGTAAGCACTTTTTATCCAATAAATGTTGCAGTTATATAAAAAATACAAAAATATCATTTAACAATAAACCCCTCCCCAAGTAACCTTTGCACTAGACCCCCTCCTTCCATATTGTTTATGGACAACTTTTTATATATTGTAAAAATAGAAGAGAGCCCGTCATTGGAGTTGCTTCCATATCCGATGCTGGACGTCTACATTTCGCATCGGATAGCATCGTGCTAGCGAAACGTTAGATATATATATATATGTATATTTTTTAGAAATAATATTATTCTTAAAAAAAAAGTTCCGAGGATACCTAAATATATACGTATTCTCGACTTGCAAAGCAAAACAATAATTTATTACAGAATGCCATATAGGCATGTATCTACTTAATAAACGTAACTGTAGAAACCGACAGTTAGTAAAAGGAATATTTTACATTAATTATATTTTATGAGCATAGCACATACCACTAAATATCAATGTACACCTCATGATTATAATTTCAGCTTCCGCCACCTCCTCAGCTCACCCTGGATGAGAAAAGGCGTAGGTCACTTTCATTATCAGCCTTGAAGGAAGTCATACAACCGACGGATAGTCACAAACGTAAGTGCAATTGTTTGGTGTAATGTTGTAATGTATTTATATGAGGAGGAATTTTATTACGGAAAGCAATTTTGACAGGAATGTTTAGCTCAATAAGATAAGTCAATGGTTTTACATACGTACCCTTTATACTTTGTGGGTATGCTACATAAGAGAGTAGAGAAACAAACATAAACAGAAGGAAACATCCGAATCCTGAATTTATCGAGTACCTACAGGCAGGTACGCCTCGAGTAAACTTTTCTAAAAAATTATAAAATTAAAAAAATGATTCACCATCCAATTACTAGAAATAAACCGAAAAATTGTAAACATTTACTTTAACTCATTATTTTTGTAAAACATGGTTAATGGGCACATTACCTAGATACGTAAAGTTGTACAACTATAATTTAAATCAGATTTTACACTTTAACCGTTGAACATGTACCAAGTAGTCTAAATTCAAACAAAATAGCTCAAAACCCCAACATCAAAACACGTGTTTTCTTTTTGTTTGTTCTACAATAACCGCCAAAGTTTTTCCAATCTTCATATTTTAGTCTACATTTATATTCATATCAATGGGTTTCTAACTTTATGAGAAACATATACAAATAAATATGTTAAATAATATATATATATATGTT